GTGTAAAGGGTTAGTTAAGGTTGTCAGGTACATTGTGCACACATAGTTCTTTTTATCTTTTTATTAAAAACACTAGTTTAGGATGGGTGAGTGCCTTGTGTCTTTTATGGTTTTGGGTAGTTAGTGAAGGTTAGGTAGGGCATTAGAAGACAATGAAGACTGAATGTTTCAGGTTTTTGTTTTGTAGTTAGGTCAGCTTCCCCTCACTTTATTAGCTTGCTCCATTTTGTTTGTTATTTTCTTTCCTTTGGCACTGCTCAAGTTCCTTTTCCCTGTGTGTTATTGTGTTCTGTACATGTACCAGTCACTTATTCAGTTTTTAAAAGAAATCACTTTTGCACCAAAGCTTTCTAAGTCTCTCACCAGAAACCCACCTGCATCCAAATCCATCCTAAATGTTACACCCCTTTACCTCTAGACACCTGGGGTCATAACATACAGTATCTGTAAAACTCCATAGAACTAAACTGTATGTTAGACCTCAAGTGCTCCAGAGGACAATCAGAGGAAAAGAGAAAGTTCCTAATTAGGCCAGTTAAACAATATTTAGTGTTTGACTTATTTAAGTGTAATTTTCAATGGATAACTAAAAATGTAGCATACTGTATATTTTTTTAAAAATAACTTTTACAGATGCACTACAGAAAGCACAGTTACAGGTTGCATCACAGTGTGGTATGGCAACCGCAGCATTGCTGACTAAAAAGCCCTACAGCGGGTGGTGAAAACTGCCCAGTCCATCCAGGACATTTATGACAGACGGTGCTTGAGGAAAGCTCTAAACATCATCAAAGACCACACACACCCCAGCTACAAACTGTTTGACCCTCTACCATCTGGAAATAGTACCGGAGCATTTGGGCTGGGACTATCAGACTCAGAGACAGTTTTTACCCCCGCAAACTATTCAACTCCCAGCCCCTCTCACCTTCGATCTGAACCTCAAACACACATTGAAATCTACCTCTACCTCACATGTCAAGATGTTCACTCCCCATAATTTTCTATCCTTTATTTCATTCTGTTGATGTATGAGTTTGCACATCTGATGTTGTTTTGCACATTGCCTGTTACCTGTTGTTGTTTTGTACATTGCCTCTTGTCTGTCTTTCTTTTCTTATACAATTGTGTTGTTGTTTTTTATGTACTTCTTACTGTTTGAGAGCTAAGTAAATAGCATTTCGTTATGCCATATACTTGTACTGTATATGAGTATAATGACAATAAACTTGAACTTGAACAACATTTATCTTTTTACAATAACAGCAAGTGGTGTTCTTACTACTGTAGGTATTGTTAGAAAAGGATAAAATGTTATAACTTTTTATGAAGTACAGAATATAAGCTTAATAATGTTAGAACAAGCCCGTTTAAACCAGTACCCATGTAAGTTACCAAGTGAAAGACTTTGATGCATAAAATATTTATGCATAATTAATATATTTATTAAGGCTGTGTATTTTTGTCCAATAGAGCAATCTTGTTTTTATAAAATATACCGACCTTTTAATGTTTAGTGATTAACATTTTGTAATACACAAAATTATTAAAAATCTAAAGAGTATACAACTTAAATTCTTAATTTTCCCTCAAATGCTGTACATGAGAACTTAAACTTTCTTAGCTCCACATTGCGGTTTTACAAGGTGCTTTCGGATACTATTATCACTTTCATTTAACATACGGTAAAATGCGGTAGATGCGCCACGCCCACCGCGTTTTAACGAAGCGTACCTCGCGCATTTTGAATAGCTGGATCTGTGTAAAAGTAATGCTACATGTCTAAATAAGTAAGATCTAAAAAGATAAAAATATATGTATTTCTCCTCCAAATTGCTCGTATTTGTTGCAGAGCCCCTAAGACAATGTAAAAAATAATTTATTTTTCATTATGCTCTGAAAAAAGACTCGGGTAAAAGCTTACATTGACGTTACATGGTATGTGAATATGTGAATTGACTTCACAGGAGAATAAATTGTTGTCGTAATAAGAAAGACGTGTGCTAATATCACTTTTAAAAATGCTGTCCAGCTGTGCTAACAGACTAGTTTAACCGGACTGAAACAATCCAGTCTGACAGTGTGGCTGGTTTGAGCTTTAGAGCCGCATGAAAATTGTTTTTCTGGCATGATGAAAGACCGCGTTAGTTAGCAACTGATTCAGAGCATGGATCACGTCTCTCAAGTGAACTTATTAATATCCTGGTATTGTGCACAGTGCCAGAAAGCAGATGAAACGATTCCCATTATCTCTTAATAGATGATTATAGAGCTCCACTTGGGAGTTAAGGCAACAAAGGCTTTAAAGCAAGCAAATACAGTTAAAGCAACAGTGTAGAGATCTCTCTTCTGAACTCTAAAATTGAAAATAAAATGCATTCATTTGCTTGCAAAATTAAAAGTCCAAATATTTTCTTTTTACACAGATATCCACTTATCTCTTTCTGTTCCAGAGAACTGTGCTTTTTATGTAATCTGTGACTTTTGTTATTGTGCCTGGAAGCCTTGTTGACATCTTTATGCAACACGATTAGTTATTTTAAAGCTTAAAGCGCTTGTGACCTACAGTATGGGAGTATGCGTTCTTATCTGGAGAAGAAGACACACAGTGTTTAATATCAGATCTAACTTTTAAAAATATTTGTGTTTTGTCAGCTTGTCTGAAATAGGCATTTTATTACTGGAGTTCTCAGACTTCACACAACAATTCTGAATTCTGACCTGTAAGAAAAAAATGAACACGATGTTGAATACTGTGCAAAAATCTGTGGAAAAATTCTGGAGGCATTAAGAACTGCTGATTAAAGCATTATACAGTAGCTATGAGCATAATTTTCTCAGAATGTCTAGTTGATGTTTGAAGAAGGGTAGAGAGAGAATTGCCTTAGAAAATATTTTTAGATACTATTCATGGACTCAGAATTAATTAATAACTCATTTTCCTTACTCCAAGAGCTGAGTGAGTTCATGTTGTATGTGAGTGAGATGAAGGGCAGATCAACTAAATTCCAGAGTTGCTGTAACAATTAAATTACTTGTACTAATTTCATTGCTTAAATTGTCAGAAAAATCAGCCATTTTTTGTCCTTTTCTAATTAAAAAACATTTCTAAAACATAATTTGTTTTGCTGTGCAACTGTCCTATGTTGAAAAAAAAAATGTATTTTAGTCTTAATTATTACTTAATTAAGTGTGTATCCTGTGTGTAGCATGAAACATCGAGATTGTGTTTTGGTTTTGAACCAGAACATCACTGCAGCAACAGTATGTTGTGTATTAAATATTGTATTAACTATTCTTTGTGTAAATTTTCCATAATCCATTCAAAACAAAGTATAGTTGGTGATTTGGGTTGATTAATAATGCACATTTGAACATCATTGTTTTTTGTAGCTATTACTGTGCAGTTTTCCAGTGTCTATCAGTCAGGTCTTGTCCTCACTAATTTATGGTCTTTTGAAGTGTTTGAAGGGTGGTAAATAAATGGAAATAGTGAACCCTGTTGTTTCTTGAAGCGTCTAATCTAATTATTGCTACCTTGCTTAAAGGAGAAAGTTCAGGGGGCTAAATGCCAGACTGCATTAATCACAAATACGAATTGAAATGAAGGACTGTCAAGCTTTCATAATCTTGTTATTTTTGGAGCATTTTACTAATTGAGTATGAGTAACCACTAACTTTTGTCACAGTGTGATGCATATTTTCAGCTCCATGAGTTCATGATTAGCTGTTTCACCAAAAAGTACTTTTGTTAGTTTGTCATGAAACCAGATTTAATTTTTTTTTTTATGCGCAGATGTAAGACCTACGAGAGTCAATTAACTTGATGAGTGCTGGGTAGGCATTGAAATGACACAATGGGACCCACTTATATGTCCATCATCTATCCAAATGTTATTCATAGCCACTTCATTTTACAAATACATTCATTTTACCACATGAGAAAAATGCTCATGTGGTTAGCATTGCTGCTTCTCTGAGCTGGAACCCCGGGTTAATTTCCTGTGGTGCTGTCTATGTGTAGTTTGGACAATATGTTCTCCCTGTGTTGACGTGGGTTTTAGCCAGGTGCTTCAGTTTCCACCCACAGTGCAAAGACATACTGATAGATTAATTGGCTTCTGAGAAAATGGTGTGCGTGTTGTTTTTGTGTGTGGCCTGTAATTGACTGGCATCCCATCCAGGGTGTATCCTGCCTTGGGCCTGTTTCTAGCTAGGATAGGTTCTGGCTTCCTGCGATTGCAAAGTTTACTATTCACAATAAAGATGCTCCCTTCATGGTGAAGGAGGGACAGACTGTGAGTTTTGCTGTTATAATAATAAGAAATAAGAATTCTGGTGCATCTGATGATTGTTAATATATTGTAGGTGGAATGTAAAGTGAATTTCAGCTTTATAACTAAGGACGATTGTGACACACTATGTCAATGAAACTACATGTGTCTACTTCTGTGTTTACATGCTGAATTCCACTTCATATGTACTGTATGTAGTTTAGAAACCGATCTCTTCAATATTTTAAAGAAGAGGTTATATACACATAATGGAAATGCTGATTTTATAAAGTTTTGTTGATTGCCACAGAGGAAACAGGGAAGCCTTTTCACTTCAGTAGTATGATATTTTGTGTGGGACACATTTTGGTAGACAGTTGTCCAATTTATATATAATGTATAATAGGTAAAAGCTTTCCTACTTCATATAAGGATACACAACCCTCTAGTGGAGAGAAAAACTTACTACATGACTATAAATATTGTTGAGGGATTTCAAATAGCACATTACAAATGTATAACAATGTGTTAAAATTAATTTTCAATTAAAGAAATGTATAATAATACATCAGGATAATCTGTTTTGTTTTAAGGCATGGTACTTAACATTAATAGGCATCAGTTAGTACAAGATTATCCACACTCATCTCTAAAGTGTTTCCGATAATCTACCTTACAACTGAGAAACAAATGTGTTACTACTGATTGCATATTTTACTTCCATAGATATCATTGTTCCAGAGGGTAGAAAGTTGTGTGAATATTCCAAAGCACCGTCAATCTCTGAAGTGACTTTTCAGCTATGGACCCAAAGGTAAAAAAAAAAAAAACTGGATAGATTTTTTCTTATTTAAATATGTTTTCATTCTGTTTCTCAGAAAGAATTAAATTCAAGCCACATCTATAGTTCGATCAAAGCACTTACATATATATGGGCACAAAATGTTAATGAATTCTGACAGAACAACTCGGGAATAACACACAAATACTTTATCCTTAGAGTCCCATGTAAATTCATTTGGAATTGCCCATTGTTAGTGACAATCTAAGAAAAAAAATATTGATATAGTTGTGTAATTGAAAAAAAAAACAACAATAATGTGTTCAACACCAAAAGGCTAACAAAGTCCAAAAAGCACAATGTTCACAATCTGTCCAAAGGCTACAACAAATTATCCAGTGGCTGCTCGGGTCTATGTGTCAAGGCTGTTAGAATACTGGCAATGCTCATGGAAATCACACTCATTATTAGCTTTGTAATATTTTAATTTCTCATGTTTCATAGTGAATAAAAAGTGTTTTGATATGTATTTTTCTCATATTTTATATTATTTTGTTCCATATCTATACTTCAATATTTTCTTTAAATCATTGTGTTTCTTCTGTACAGTGCATATACGGTACATATATTTTTATAGTTAGAATGAGAGATTCCATCCCATGAATTCTACTGATGTTACTAGTTATGAACGTTTCTCTTGCTAAATGTAAACACAGTATTCCATTTGGCTTTGCAATGATTAAGTTTGAATCATGTTTCACCAAAGCTGTCTGTACTTTATCATCCATATACTGTAGGTCTCTGTGTGCTAAAACACTCCACCTTGTTTTGTAAGAATAACTGTATGCAATGAAATCAAACTTCAAATGTATGACTGTTGATTTTTATATCAGTATTTATCAATTTCTTTCTCTCCTAGTGCCAATCTTCCTCTCCTCAGAAACAGACTGTGAAAAACAGGTCCAAATCCACTGAGGAGATCCAACAAGCTAAAAAGGTATCAGTGTTCTACAAAAAGTGACTGTTCTTCATTGTTCTCACCAAGACCATATATTGAAAAATAACTATTACTAATAACACTTACAACAATAACTAGAAAAATGGTAAGATACCTCAAAATTGAATGACTTCATTGTCTTTTGGTAAAATAAAACAAGAATCATTGGGGTATCCTGAATATTCATTGCACAAATGTGATCTGAAAATGTATTATTATAGAATGAATCAAATATATATTAAAAAATATTACAAATATCAGTGAAATATTCTGAATTTCAGGATTAATAAGTTAGTAAGTAATGGATGTTGCCTAGAAAAATATGACTTTTCCCTTTCTGTATATCCTATAATATATAGGAAGATTCACAGCAGTTTAAAAAAATAATTTCTCCCACATCACAGGCCTTTCACACTCCCCAGAAATCCCTGCCAGGGAAGACAGAACTAGAGAAACTTAAGGTAAGTTTTGCTGCAAAGCAAGCTTTTCTCAACAAGATCAACTTTGTAGTTCTCTCTGTGTCAGTCTGTTTTTTCTTCATGGTATATCTTAATAGTATTATTAGTATTAGCTTTACTACATATTGAACAAGAAGAAATCAACCAACCTGTATAACTATAAAGCTATGATACAAAGTTTAAGCTTATAACTATAAACTATAAGCTAAACATACAGTTCAACTGCACTTTAGTTTGCAAAGTTTGGAAACTATGGAACAAAATAACATACAGTGTATTTCTGCTTATTAACACTATTCCAAGCTGTCTTTCTGACTGTTGTTTACGGATCTTTGCTCCCATTTCAGGAGGCCTCTGATGTCTCAGAGACAACATCCTCACCTGAAGTGTTAAAATGAGTGGGAGATCAAAGCTGAATGGCTAGTTGGCTAGTTTTGAGTCATCCCAAAAAAAAGCATTTCTGTCAGTATCCACTCAAACACACAGCAACAGGGAGCCAAAACTGTGCAGTGGTTTGGCCTTGACTTTCCCATTGTCATCACCATGCTTCAGATATAAAGCTGACGTAATGTCAATGTAATGTCAGTCCACTGTACGTAAAGAACTGAATGTGCATTAACAAAAAAGCGACCTTGAAGTTCTCTTTCTCTGAATTCATTCTTCTTTCTTTATTTGGTAATCAGGGTATATCTTAATACTACTATATAGATCTGGAAGCACTTATTGTAGACTGAATGGTCTCTGTACATTTTTCATTTTATATAGTGTCATGCTTCAAGTTAACTAGTAACTCTGTAATGTGTGTGTAAAAATAAATCTAATTAAAAATAATAAAAAAAAACTACTGTTTACCTCAGCATAATGTGAAAGACGTGGAAATCACTCAATTCTACTTCACCAGGAGCATACTTTTAAAATTTAGCCTGGGGGAAATCAGGCAGGTTAGAGTCTCTTCTTGGTGAATCTTACATTCTGCACTTTTTTTTCTCTGACAGTTCTTCATTTGAAATTGCTATCCTGTGTGAAATGGTTTAAGTTTTACTCAGCATCTGTTAAACCAGGAGAATTGAAATAGTTGTCAGGGAATTCTAATAAAATAAATTAATTGGGAATAAGAAAGTCAAAGGTAGAAGACTACTAAAAAAAGATCCTTGTTTAAGGTAGCTTTCAAGCACCAAATACCACAACCAAGCAAGTATGACAGCCTGATGGCCTCTTTCTCATTTGTAACAGTTTCTTGTTCTTAATTTTCTTAGATGGTCAGAATATCTGTTGCTTAGAGTATGTCATTAAATACTTTTAGAATATGTATGTATATCCACATACAGCTTGTGTGTAGCAGGCACGCTTTAGAACATCAATATATTTAGTTAATTTTAAGGCCAGAGTAATAGCTATGCTAATATTGAAATTAAAAAAAAAAATTACTAAAAATGAACAAAAAGTAAATTACTTTCTGGAGCACAGAATCCTCCCTCTGGTATTGATTTTTACTCTTTCTTATTACTAAGTCTTACATGTATTAATTTTTTCAATCTCAGTAGGAGTTATTACCTTTTTTATCAGTAATATCAGAATACAAATAGCATTCTTGTCCCAAATTGGAACATATTCAGGAATTGCAGTTTTAGAAACACCAGGGAATGCTCTGTTCTGTATAATTTAAATTGACCAGGAATGCGACATATTACAATTCAATAATTAGTTTAAATAGTTTAGAATTTAATGACCTCGGTATTTTTCTTTCTATGTATAACTTATATACTGTACCATAATTGTGACCTATTCATTTTATCGGTCAAATGCCAGATAAATACTTGATCTAAATTCTTCAATAAACATTTCTCTTTGACTATCCCTAGCCAGTTTTCTGCTTCAAACATACTAATTTCATCTTCCATTTTATGGATATTTATTTCTGGGAATGTGTTCTGTGATAGTTTTGTTTTTCTTATTTGAAGGTAAAGTACATTTATCACAAAATGGACATACACCTGAATGAGCATTCATACAGTATATTTGAATACAAATTATAGTACAAAAATGTAAGTATTGCTATGGTTCTAGAAACATTATTGTTTAAACAAGGAATGGTTGATTCAGTATATTTTGTTGCTGATATACTGTATAGTCACAAACATAATTATTTTAATGGATTAAAGATTTACCTCTAGCTTTCCTGTGTTATTTGTATTTTATTTCTCTTTGTCCCTTCATTTACACACTTGAACATTACTCAATAAAATAGTAACTGAGAAAAGGAAAATCAAACTATTGCTTAGTTTTGTATTAATTTTACTTAAAATAATTTAATGAATCAGCATAGATAGATACTTTATTGATCCCAGGACGGAAATTGCAGTGCAACAGCAGCTCAACACAGACAACACCGCCACAGTGCAACGAATGATACAATACTAATAATACAATACATACAATACAATACAATCAGTACAGTGAGAAGTGCACTAAGAACAGTTACTTACAGTCCAGAACACACAAAGAACAAACCAGAACAGAACAGTAAACAAAAATGTCATATTGCACAATATGACAATAAATATAAATGTATTGCACAGGTCATATTAGTTTTTATTAGTTTTAGTCATCTTGTCTGGTAAATATTCCATTTTCTTTTCAAAGAAGGATGTCATTCATTATCATGGCTCTTATGTAAAACTTTAACTCTATTTTTAATTAATATACTTCTAGATGTAAACAAGTCATGCAATGAAATTTTCTCAACTAGAAACTGTGAATATTAAAGCTGGCATTAGAATGGGGATCTATAGTAGAACAAATATAAACCTATACGAACTGAGTTTGATTCAAATTTTAATGAGCAAACTATGACCTCAGACTTTTTTATTTTCTTTAAATCCTTTTGCACTGTAAAATTACTAAGTAATTTGGCACAGTGGCACAGTACTTTTACAACTCAATAAGATACAGTACTTGAATTCTGTAGCCTATGTAAATTTAGTGAACAGTTCTGGGTCAGTAGCACTACCCAATAAAATGATTGACTAAAATAAGCCATGTTTCACACAATTAAATGCTGTTATCAGCTAAGATAGAAAAAAAATTCCTGGGACCTCTTAAGAAATAAGTGGAATCATTGTGCTGAGTCAAAGGTTCTCCCTTTCCTTACAAGCTACAGTAAGTGTTTTTCTCATTGGTTATCTAAATGGGAGTTGGTTGAAACAGTCCAAATATGTGGATTTTTAAAAGAAACACTCACTCTGAAACCATTAGTTTTTCTGATTGAAGCATTCTCTTGCTATTCTCTTCAAATAATACCAAATACCATTACTACTGCCATAAATACAATTTCCCAAACTGTTCTCGAAGAGCACCTTTGTGTAACACTAATAAACCAATTACCACTGGTTTCACTCTTTAACAGTCACTGACTTCATTTTATTTACTTGTGAAGTGGCAATATAAATGTATTGATGTGAACCAGGACTTTGATGAATAATAAAACTTGTTTTTTCTACTTGTTAAGTGTATTTATTAATTTATTTCTTTTTGAACGTACATGTGTATGCATATACAATAAGTGTGTGTACACATAAACAGTATGTACTGGACTCAATCTGTATATGTCTGTATATTGAAGAACATCAGTCCTCACTACCCTCACTGTTTTTTTCTCATTTTAGACAGGTAGATACTTTATTGATCCCATGAGGGAAATTGCAGTGCAACAGCAGCTTAATACAGACGACACAGCCACAGTGTAAGGAATGATACAATACTAATAATACAATACATACAATGCAATCAGTAAAGTGAGAAGTGCACTAAGAAGAGTTACTCACAGTCCAGAACACACAAAGAACAAACCAGAACAGAACAGTGCACAAAAAAGTTGTATTGCACAATATGACTATAAATATAAATGTATTGCACAGGTCCCTGGCATATATTGCACAAAAACGGTTGTAAACGGGAAAAGAAAAAGAACAGATGTATCAGTTTACTGTTCAGTCCAGAAAGAGGTTGCTGTCAATGTTGCCTCTGCCCAGATGCAAGGCTTCATTTTAATGAAGTTTGTAACAGCAGTAGGTTGGATGATAACATAAGACTTTCACCTCAGCTTTTCTAAATCCTAATCATTCCTGGTGTAATTTCAAAGCTATATATTTCATGCACTAATCCCTTTTCTTTGTACATTTTTCCTCACTCATCTTTCTTATACTCAATAAAAACCCTCAAATAAATAAAAATATGATTACAGTGATAAGTGACTACAGAAGTGTCTCTAAGAAACCTGACTGGTGTCAACATCTCCTTCTTCAAAGCAAGGGGATGTGTGTCTTAGATGTAGGGGGTCCAGATTCAGTGATCTAAGTAATTGTGAAGTTTACCTTGGTTTACCTTAGTTAATTAAGTTCCGGGTAAATCATTAAGTGTCAATTAATGGTCCAGGAACAGAGCATAAAAAGGTTGGAAGAAGAAGAACAGACAAGACTACAAGAAAGATATCTGAGGCTCAAGCTCCTTGTTCCAGATCAACCACCAGATTGGAGCTAATTATTTGAACCTCTGTAAAGTGAGTTATTCTGTGGTTTTTAAGGAACTCTGATTTCCTGCGTAAAGAATCCCTTGGTTAAAAACAGCCTTTCCTGGGTCGTGGGTGCATTTTTAGAATAGGGAGAGAGGTTCCCATTCATTTGGTGGCATCTGAGTTACAGAGGGAGAAATGTGTATAACAGACAGTATTCTATTTAGTTTAGTAGGCAGCTTATCTCTTATTTTTTGCTTTTGTAAGCATTATAGAGTTTGAATACTTGGTAACAGTCTGAGGTTTTTCTGGGAAGTGAGGACATTGAGCCTTATTTGTAAATCTATACATACTGTAGCATAACTTGTCTGTTGTATGTTTGTGTTTTATGTTGTTTAGTGTGTGTATTGTCATTTTTAATAAATATTTGCTTAACCAATTGTGCCTGAACTATTACTTTTTTCACCAAACCAGTGCCAAAAATATCATGTGCCTCCAGTTATACCAACTGCTTTGGTATATTTTTGGCAGATATCATTAACAGGTAGGGGGTTATGATTATTTATTGATTTATCCGCTCGGCCTGATTTTCTCGATTTCCGTAACCCCAAGTTAGTAACAATATTGTGATGTAAACCTCTGAAGCTCAAAAAGGGTTCTAAGCTGAAGAGTTTCCTGAATGGCCTTTTGTCTCTGCTGCTTGTTGTGGGCATGCATCATCAGGTTGCTGGCAGAAAGCATTCTCTAAAAAATGTACTGTTGTTTACCAGTTTTTCACTTGTCCTTTAGTGTTCACACCACGAGGAGGTTTTGCTGGCAGTGACAAACTCTCTTCCTTTTATCTATGGAAGTGAGCACATATTTTTACACTGTTCATGAACATTGACAACTCTACAACATTTTACTTTGGCAAAGTGATAAATAGTAAAAAGTGTGTCTCCATAACCTGTACCCCTTCTTCCAGTCTTGCCCATTGTGCTGTCCCAATATTAGTGAAAATATATTGGTGGGTAGCTACCTCCTTAAACTTTGCCACTTTAACAGAGCCATTTCAAAGCTCATTTCACATGCAAAGTGATTATTGCCTTATCCATGGTTTATTAGCAACCAAACCGTGGTTTCTCTGCCAGTACACATCTAGCTTTGCTAAGTAGTGGACTCATGGCTTATGTATAATTTGGTAGGAATCCAGAAACTGTTGCCAGTGTTATTTATGATGTGCACCAGGGAATTCCTCAATTAGGTAAATATAGCTTAGTGTCTTAAAGTCTATGCTACAACACATCCAAAATGAAAAAAATAACACTTTCTATGTCTTGTAAAAACAGCAGAAAATAAATGTACTATTTCTTTGATCAAAAGTAATATCTGTTGGTACTTATTTTTCGGTACTATTTATATGGTTTATGTCTTGTACTTACAAAATAGGGGAATTGTGAGCAAGGGGGGAATTATAAGATTTAAAAGGAGTACATTATTTAATTTTTCTAATCAGAATATACACATATTTTTAAATACTTGTAAACATAATCTCAAAAATGCATTGCCCATATTCTTGTGTTCTAATGTTATCAAGTCTAAAATCTTTTATTATCGTTTCAGAGGTTTTTGCATGGTTTGTTCCATCTTTATAACTGTACATACTATTTCAGCCCAGAAGATGTCTTGGGAAAGTAAGATCATTTCCATGGTTGCTTTGACACACCTGAGACATCCACACTTTACCCTGCAGTTCCATGGCCTCATACTGTAATTGTAGACACACTGAAATTACAAACCATTTTCAGTGGACATACCATGCTTCAATAATGCATTGATCTCCACCCATCTATTATCACAGCACATTTGTAATTATCTGGGACAAAAAGAACGATCAATAACAACCAGCACAGAGGGTTTATCATTAATGATTTTTAATGGGAGCCAGTCCAGGCTCCCACGAAGCGTAGTTCAGGACCCTATGCAGACGGTATCCAGAAGTAAGCGGAGAAGGACAACAGAGAGGAGACGAAGAGGATCAGGAAGGGTTGACAGACAGGGGGGCATGATGGCAGTGATCCGGTGCTCAGGGGGCTTGGTGCAGGCAACCAAGTTCAGACAGCCCAAGGGGAAAATCTGGGGGCGCAGTCCAAAATCCAAAACCGGGTGATCCATCCAAGACCAAATAAAACACAGTTAAAATCCGTAACGCCATGATGAAGCTTATGCAGTCGGGTCTATCCTGGACTTCCGGGCGTCCATCTCCCAATGCTGAGTCAGGCATAGTGGGAGCTCCCGCCTTAAATAAAGATGGACAAACAGGGGACAGGTGCACATAATGAACTAAAATACAAAAGGGTCGGAGCACCCTTAAGTGGAGGAATCCCAATCATGACATGACTCTAACTTTCCACAAATGTGTTAAATTAAAGTGTCCAACATTAAGTTGATAGAGATGTGGTGTGATGTAAAGTAAGAGATATTGAGCCAGCATGTGTGGTTGTGGCCTGCTAAATGTCAGACATGATAGTGCCGCAATAGACACAAGCTACCTCTCAAAGTGTTTTTTGGATGTCTAACTAAAAAGGCAATTATCAGTCTTTAAAAGATAGAAACTTTCCAGTGGCACACTGGCCTCCGAACACCACACCACACAACACAACAGATGAAGAACCATGAAATAAGTTCATCAATTGAACTAAGGATGAACTTTAGGTAGACTTTAGGTAGTCCAAGCCTGGAGTGGGATTTATCCATGACTCCAGGTTTAACAACCTTACGCCTATGATCAGTGCAACAGAAACTTTAACGACAAAGTAGTATCGTTAAAGTACAGTATCTCATCTGAAAGAAAGCATCGTGGCTCCCCTGTAACTGTCTTGGTCCAGAGTAAGAAGTGCCACCTATTGATCCACAAACACAATGTTACTGCAACATGATTTTCTAAAAAGGCTACCTACCCACTACTGACAAAGCTCAGCCTTGCTCAGCTTTTAGCAAGTGGACATGTGTAAATCTATGCTTAAGCAGACCTATATCATACTTATCAAATTTAATACAACAACGTGTTTATCCAAATGTTAATTTTTGCTTGCTTTAATAAAGTATAAAGTATTTGGTCACAGAACACCTTTTCTGTTGAAGGTGTGCACTGGGCAGAACATTTCCTGGCCAGTGGTTTTTGTAGTGGTGCCAGCAGTTCATCATCAACTGAAAGGGTCATTAATTTGCCTCTACTAGGTAACTAGAGAAAAACATTAAGCAGCTGCTACATGGCACAGAAGTGCAGCACTGGCTTTGCAACAAAAATGTCTGGAAATGCTGACTTTGCAGGAGGGTGCTCAAATAATGATTGACTGACTATTTAAGATGAATCATCGGAACATGTCTTAATAAGCATTGTTTGTCAACTAATAAGAAGATTATTAAGCTATAATTTTACGTTTTTTCAAAATTAACCAGTTCACCAGTTTACCAGTGTGTCAGCATTCTTGACACACTCTCATCTCTTTATTTTCACCTATTAATAACTTGTGGAAAATGTCCAGTCTTTGTCTGTTATACGTATCTACTTACACCTTGGTTTGGGTATCTGGACTCCTTGCAAAACTCAGACAAAGATGAAAAGCAGTAAGTCCATTAAAGCACACAAATGTCCTTAGAACTGATTGCTGCTGCACCTTTGGTCCTTTGTCTTTGAAGTTGTACAGAAAGCCTGGATTGTTATATCATGTTTTTTGTGAACACATTCTCCTACTGTACGTACTGTATATGAATTCTCTTATGGTCACCTGGAATGTTACTGTAGTCTGTGTTGATTGTCACCTACTGCATGTGATGAAGGGATTGTCCACTAATATGAATTATATAGATATCATCTCAGTTATGAGATATACAGAATGTTTGTTTTAATTACTCTGTAATAATATGATATTATTTCAAGGCAAAACAGTGAGACAAATATATGCACCAGAGCTATTTATTCTTGGTTATCTGTGTGTTGAGCATAAAATGTTTGGAATTTATAATGGATTTAGAACGTTATAATGATTTATATACTAATACAGTCTTTTCTAGTTTTCTAAAACATTAGACATTTGTAAGAGTTACTCCCCACAACTGTGGTAAGAAAAACCATATGCAACTGGATTTTATTTGACTGACTTTTTAAAAAGTCAAAATTCTAAAAAGAAAAAATGTACATGGTATACCTACATGGTATACATGGTGTGTATTGGCATTACTAGAAACCAACTGATTTTTTTACTCATCAATATAAATGATGTATTGTAAAGATTAACATACTTGTAAAATACAAGCTACATCATTCAGACAACACTTGAAGTGTGACTTATGAATATTGCATTATCTCAAATTTTAAAGTCAGTGATAAAGCTTTGCAACTTAGCCAGGATGTGCCAGCAGATTCTAGCATTTATAATCATGTTGAGTCTAGGTCATCTTCAAAAAGTGCTCAAGGACATACTACATATTGTGGTGAATCCTTGATAGTTACAGACATCCAAACATTTAATTCATATTAACCTTCTATTTTCTTATGTATCAGGATTTAAGCAAGACTTCTGTTTTTTTCTCCTACAGTGTTAAAACAATCTGTGATGTAAGAAAAGAATAAAGATGACATGTTTTGGACTTATAATAATTCATATGTCAAGATAACTGAACTGAGAAATATCCTTATGTAAATAGGTAAAAGATGACCTACAGATTTTTATAGGGAGTTCGGACATTTCTGCGGATTTCTATCCCACTCGGTGTACAACAGTAAAGCCAAAATGCTAAATGACAAATACTGCGTAAGAAACTCCTCATTTTACTTAGTAAGAAACTCCTCACCTTCTTAGCTTTCATCACAATAAACTACTGTATGGATTGTAAGTATTTGTAGTTTTGTGTAATAATTGAATTGTTCATACAGTCACTTTTTCCTGTATTTCTATTTCCCTCAAGGAAAAGCATGGGGGATCAGTCTGTTTTTAAAGGCCACTTGGCACGAGCAATTCTCTGCTTCAGGGAGCGTGAAATAGGTCTGGAGATCACATCAAGTGGAGCTGCTTTAATTTTCCACACAAAAACAGTGAACTGGTTCAACTCTGAGGAACCTGGCCGGACTCTGGTCTGTAGATTTTGTTTTCCCAGTTCAAAAACAAAAGCCAGAAAAAGCAATGCCATTAGACACACTGTTATAACCACTTTAAAAACACCAGGAATTACTGATACAACTATTGAAAGTTGAGAGGTAAAGACAATACACTCTTAATAGCAATAAAATATTGTTTTTATAGTTATGCTATAACAACAAAAAGACAATCACAATATTGTTGTTGTTTTTGTTGTTGTGACTGTGTGTTTTAATCCTATTGCGAAGTATTTTTTTTCCTACAATATGCTCAAAAGAATTGACTTCTACTGTATATCCACAGTTACTGTATATAAATCATATAATCATAGTCATATAATCATAGAAAACAATGTAATTGAATGTATCAGATTTTATTTAGATTACAGGTGTGTATTTCTACACTACCATAGTAACAGGTAAAGAATTTAATCAAATCATTTTCGAGCTTGATAGATCACAACAGATAAAGCTGTTTTATCTTAAAACAGCGCAGTAATGCAATGCATGCTATTAGAGATCACCAGATGCTGCTCTCAAATGATTTCATATGACTGACCACTAGGTGTCATGTTTCACTAATTAAATTTAACAGTATATACATGATATTTAATAATAATAATAATAATAATAATAATAATAATAATAATAAT